TAGGGCGTGTGCACTTGCCAGACAGACAGAGAGAGACATAGAGACAGAAAGCGAGAAATCACCCCCCAGGGGGGATGGTCATGCCACAATCCCTTCTCCTCCATTCTCCTCTCGGGATCTTGGGCACGCACGCACACGTGCCCAGCGTGAGTTTTAAGCCACTGGGTCCGGGATGCGAACCGCGGTCGACTACATGGGAGTCCAGCGACATAGCCATTATGCTAACTGTTGGTTCCCCATTTCTTCTTTTTTTTTTTTTTTGCTAGTGGGTATGTGCATGAGCCAGAGAGCTAGGAGAAGAGGGGGAAGCGCCCCTCAAAGGGTATAGTCATGCCACAATCTCTTCTCCAGTTCTCCATCTTGTTGAGATCTTAGGTACACATGCATACGAACCCATCATAGTTTTCAAGCTACTGGGCCAGGGTTCAGATCATGGCCAGCCACGTGGTGTCTGGCTCTCTTCACTACTGGGCAAGGTTGGCCCAGGTCACTTTCTTCTTGACAAGGATCAGGTGATGACTCCATCTCAGTTCATCCATAGTCTTACCTGCCTTTTCTTGACCTTCAGCCCAAGGAAATTTAGATTCTGTTCTAGTTACATCTTGGTTCTAGACAAGGGTAGGACCATCAGGGTATCTGATTTTAGGAGGGTCCTCCACTGAGAGAGTGCCGGTCGTATGCCTGGGACCCTGCACAAGCGCATAGCCCATACCCACAGTTCCAGAACCAGGGGTTGTGAGTGGAGAACTCAGAGGAGCATTAGCAGCCTGCCGGGGGGGGTCCTGGCTCCTAGACACAGGTGAGTCCACCTGCAGGCCCCAGAGCAGGCCTTGTATTTTACCAGCTGCTTTCATCTGAGAGTTGGTTGGGGCAGGAGCCAAAAGTGATTGCTTTTGCAAGAAGGGCTGGAGGTTGGGCTGAGACCCTGCAGGTGACTGACCAGCAGGGCGTGGAGCCGGGCTAGATCTTTCCTTTTTACACCTCGGCAGAGACAGTTCCAGAATGGTATCAAAGGGATTGGGGAACAGATCTGGCTGCTGCTGCTGCTTTTTTCTTCCCTTTTTTTCTAATCTTAAAGAGACACAAGGTGAAACTAATTACACACGTGTGCTCCTCCAGGGACTCATTTTGATCTCCGTTGGACTCTGCAGGTGACCTTCAGGCGGGAAGGGCCATGGAGACCCTACAGAGGCTTGCAGGGAAGGGGCCCTGCTCAACCACTCTGGCCACATCTGGCTCGGATTTTTTTTCTCCTAAGGCACATTTAATAAGCCTGGCTTTGAAGCCCTGGCCTCCCTCTTTAAAGCACAAAGGCTTGCACAAATGGCTGACACTCAAATTCTTTCCTGATTGGATCAGGCTACGGGGAAGGTCCTCCCAGCGCCTTATCTCTGCAGGACCCAGGCCCTCCTCAGTGCCCTTCCTGGGTTGGGGGGCCCAGAGTGCCGTGCCTCATTTTCCCCGCAGGGCGGGTGCTGTAGCATCTCGGGTGTGCACACCCACCCCCTTAATAAAAAGGACTTGCAAGCTTGGGACTGAGGGGGGGGGGGAGGCCCGGGATGCGTTGAGTAATCTTAACATGGCAGGGGTTCAAAAAGCAAACAGTCCCTCCAGACGTGCCAGACGCGATTGGTGCCAGATGTCAGAAGAAAGCAGAGTTTGCCACATACAGCATGTTGCAGTGGAAAAGCCCGTTTCTTGGAGAAAATGAGGGCAGCGCTGTGCTTTTGAAGTCCTAGGGGGTGGGGCCGCCGGAATGTTGCCTCTCTCCTTTCTGGAAGAGTTGGCAGTTATGGAAAAGGTCGTGGCATGTTTGCTTGGGGATGCTGTGAAAGCCCCTCTTGGTGAAGCCCCAGGGTCAGAACTGGGGGCCGAGGGTGTGGCTGAGAGCGACCTTGACATTTGGGCCTCCCCTTGGGGAAAGGGACTTTTTCCTGCTGTCTTGGGTCTGCACGCAGGGTCCCTCTTCATTTCTCACCGGCTCCTCTCAGACCATCCCAAGAATTTTGACCCCCTTGACATGAAGCGTTTTCTGCGCGGATCCATCCAAGCCGAGCTGTCGTTCACCCCGATGCTTTAGCTCAGCCCAGCCGGGAACGTGAAAAACAAAGGACCTTGACTAAACCCAGCTGTTCACTTTATTTAGCCTTCTCTCTTATGAAATTATCTGGCTCGCCTTCA